CCCACGGAGGGCGGGTCCAGGGGGACACAGGACCCACGGAGGGCGGGTCCAGGGGGACACAGGACCCACGGAGGGCGGGGTCGAGGGGGACACAGGACCCACGAAGGGCGGGGTCCAGGGGGACACAGGGAGCCTTGGAGGAGCCAACCATCTGTTCACAGACACTTGGGCTTTTCCAGCATCTGGTGGCTGTGAGTCAAACATGGTCAGGACAGAGCAGCCGGTGTGGGGAGGGGACTCCCTCATGACGATGTGTGTCTAGGAGTGGAGACTGAAGACTCACGGCCCTCGCTGCAGGTGACAGGGAGGGCAGCAGTGCCCAGCCAACTACAGACTGGTCACATGGGGGAAAGAACAAGGATGCTGACCGAGGGCCCGCAGTCAGAACCATCGCACAGGGTGGCTTGTCATCTAGCCGGGTCCTCGAGTGCTTGGAGGTGGGACTGGCCACCTGGGCTGGGTCCACGTGTACTGGGGGGAGGTACTGGCCACCCTGAGCCAGGTCCTTGTGCACTGGAGGGTGCAGGGACAACCAGAGGCACCTCAACAGGCTCTCTCCCACTCACCCTGACCACCCAGCTGGCCTCCCATGAACCCCAGGAAAGGCCCGAGGGCCAGCAACTTGACATGAATGGGCACCACCAGCATGGACGGCAGGGCTGGGAGGCCCCCAGCCGGGCAGGGCCAAGCGTCCCCGGCCTGGCGAGCCCTCCTGGCGAAGCAGGGTTAACAGCTGCACTTGACGCGCTGGAATATTATCAGCTCTTGGGGCCCGTTTGAGAACTCCGACTCCAGAGCAAGGTGGCGACTCAGCGCTTTTCGTATTATTTAGAGAATACGGTTAACCCTGGCGGGCCCAGGCCAAATCCGGTGTGCTCAGCGCTTTCCTGGGTATAATTACAAGCCTCTATCCATCATCGGGGGAGGACGCCACGCTGACACGCCGCGAAAGGGACGCAGTAAGCACTTCCGCTAATGGAATCAGGGCCCAAACACTGCCTCGATATTTTCATTTAAATCGGAATATTTTACAATAATCGTCCAAGGCCTCCATGGGAGGCCCAGGTCCCCCACCTGGGCCAGGGTCTGGAGCAGGCAGGCCCCTGCCAGGCCCTGCCTTCTGGTGGCAGCCCCAGTGGGTGGGCCCAGCCTGTTTCTAGCGGCCAGCAGAGTGTCCTCCAAGGCGACTCACCAGAGCCCCAGGGGGCCAGTCCCTGGCTTTCATCAGGAAGAGACAGCTCCAGGGAGCAGGAGCATGCTGGCTGGGGCAGAGTGGCCTCAGGGTCCCTGGAGGCAGCTGGCAGGGTGGCATGGGGAGACCGTGTGTGCCAAGGCTGTGCACAGGGCCACCTTCTGTGTGGTCCGCCTGAGGAGCCGGGCTCCCAGTCGATGAGGAAAGAACTTGGGACGGGGCTTGGGGGGGCATCTCCACAGACATAGCCCAGGTCCCAGGCTCAGTCCTCTACTTCACAGGGGCTTGGTAAAGCCCATCTCCAGTGTTTGAGCCCTTAAGGCAGGGGGTCTGGGGCCAGGGACCCAGCCCTGCCACAGCCCACGGACTGGTAGGCAAGGGCCTCCTAGGTTGGGTCAGCTGTGACCCTGCCAAGGGCCTGGGTCCCCCTGCTGCCCTCCCTGTCTGTCCAGAAGCAGGGAGCCCTGGTGCCTGAGGCAAGGAGGACTTGAGGAAGACAAGGGCTGGGGAGCTGGGGACAGTGTGCTCCGGGAATGCCCTGCCTGATCACCGGAGGGCAGGGGGCTGAGTGGCTTCCATGGGCCCAAGCCCACTTGGACCAACTGACCCCCTTGAACTGCCCAGCTGCTGGGAGCTCCCATAACAGCCCCTCCTGGCTGGTAGGTGCAATCACCCCAACCTTCCCTCCTGGAGAGGGGCTGCACCTCAAGCCCACCTGCCCCCTGACAGCTTTGCAGCTCCCCCAACTGTGGTCACCTGCCTCTTGTCACCTCTGGCCCTCGCCTCCCCACTGTGCCCTCCTCACAAGGTGGGCATCATTGCTGTGGTCCACAAGTTCTTCATGCCCCTCCTCTCTGCCCCTCCTGGGGGCCCCTCTCCTGACCCTCCCCCTCTGAGCTTCCAGGCCTCACAATCTGCCTATCCAGAGGGAAGGGCCGAGGGCCAAGTTTAAAGCCCGCCCACCACAAGCCCTGCCCCATCCCGCCCCTGTGATCTGAGGGTGCCCCTCAGAGTGGGGGGGGGCTGTGAAGGGAAACTGCCAGGTGGGGGAGGGCCTGAACCCCATAAGCTGCCTCCATCCCAGCACCCGTTCACCACGGCCCCTCACCTTGGCACCCAGCGGGCAGTAACCTTTGAGGAAGTCTTTGCAGACCTCTGCTTTGCGGGACACGTAGACGTGGCTGTAGGGACAGCTGCTGTTGCTGCAGATCCCCTTCAGGAAGTAGGAGCACACGGGCATCTGTGGGGGCAGACCCCGATGGGGGGGCAGTCAGACCCCTGGTGTTGGGGGGCGACAGTCAGACCCCGATGGGGGGGCAGCCAGACCCCTGGTGTTGGGGGGGTGACAGTCAGACCCTGATGGGGGGGCAGTCAGACCCCTGGTGTTGGGGGACGACAGTCAGACCCCGATGGGGGGGCGACAGTCAGACCCCGATGGGGGGGGCGGCGACGGTCAGACCCCGGGGGGGGGTGACGGTCAGACCCCGATGGGGG